AACATGTGCACGGACACAGCCGATGCTTCCAGTGTGTCATTTGTTTAGGTGCACAGCCCCACAGAGATGTCACATTAGTAGCACCCACAATAGACAGCAATGGGACTGCTACCACTAGGGATGCATGCACCACTTGTGTATCCCAGGGCTGATAAACATGGCCCTGCATGGGGCATGAATTAAATCTCCCTGTGTGAACGTGGTCTAAATATCTACAGTTAATCATACTAAAGTTTTAAGTGGCTGTAAAAGTTAGTTAACATTTTAATATTACTAAGAAAATCCTCCTTTTTAATTATCAGAATTCATTTTTATGGTCTCTAACCTGTCTGCTTCCACTCTGTTTCACATATTGGTCATATATACATCTGCTGCTGTCCAGGTGTTCAATGCTCTCCCCAGGTACAGTCCAGGACCTTGAGCATTAGCTCCCACATTTCATTTTTTTTTTTTTTTGCCACACAATATCAAGCAAATATTTCACTGAGAATGTAGTGAAGTGTTTGTCTATGGGCTGACACATTTTAAGCTGTCTATAGCATTCAGTCCAAATGACACTGCATTTCTAGTCAGTTAAATGCTCTGTACCTTTTAAATAGTTTGTATTCATTTTAGTGCAGAGGAGAGAAAAAAGTGTTCCATATATATCAGTGGGTTTTTTGTGGTGGTTAGCAGCGGCAACAAGAGGGTGGCTGGATGTTTTATCCTCCAGTGATGCAACTTTCATGCTCACTCTTGTTACCTCTATCATCTCCTGGTCTTCTCTACGGGCTGGCGATGGTCAAGATAAGCCCCATGCAAGTGCATTGGAATTGCTTTATCTTGGAACATGATTCTTAGACCCCAGTCGCATCGGGTGTGACTTTGCATGCCATACGAGTTGCAAATCGCATGGCAAGTTGCACCCTATTTTCCTCAACTACAGCGGTCATATCGGTGCGGTTACGACTCGGGAGAAGCCGCACCGATTTCTAAAGTAGTGCAAGCTTGATGCGATTTGCATAGACATCTGTGTCAGGTGTCTTGCAAATCACACCTCAAATCGGCATGTCATCTGACTTTGAAATCGTGCTACTTCACTGTAAGTTGCACGATTTCAAAGTCAGGATCAGTTTGACTGCGGTGTTACTCTGAGCATCTCCCAGATGCTGGGTTTTATATGCTGAGTTGCACATGTGCAGCTATCACTGTACAGTAAGAAAACATATTAACAGCCAGCACAGAGTAAGGTTTCAAGGCAGAGGGGTTCTACAGCGTCTTCTCTCATAAAAATACCTGCTTAAAGTGTGTGTATATGTATATACAGTATCTCACAGAAGTGAGTACACTCCTCACAGTTTTGTAAATATTTTATTCTATCTTTTCATGTGACAACACTGAAGAAATGATATTTTGCTACAATATAAAGCAGTGAGCGTACAGCTTGTATAACAGTGTAAATTTGCTGTCCCCTCAAACTAACTCAACACACAGCCATTAATGTCTAAACCGCTGGCAACAAAAGTGAGTACACCTCTAAGTGACAATGTCCAAATTGGGCCCAAAGTGTCAATATTTTGTGTGGCCACCATTATTTTCCAGCACTGCCATTAACCCTCTTTGGTATGAAGTTCACCAGAGCTTCACAGGTTGCCACTGGAGTTCTCTTCCACTCCTCCATGACGACATCACGAAGCTGGTGCATGTTAGAGACCTTGTGCTCCTCCACCTTCTGTTTGAGGATGCCCCACAGATGCTTAATAGAGTTTAGGTCTGGAGACATGCTTGACCAATCCATCACCTTTACCCTCAGCTTCTTTAGCAAGGCAGTGGTCATCTTGGAGGTGTGTTTGGGGTCGTTATCATGTTGGAATACTGCCCAGCGGCCCAGTCTCCGAAGGGAGGGGATCATGCTGTGCTTCAGTATGTCACAGTACATGTTGGCATTCATGGTTCCCTCAATGAACTGTAGCTCACCCCAGTGCCGGCAGCACTCATGCAGCTCAAGACCATGTCACTCCTACCACCACACTTGTCTTTGTACTCCTCACCTGGTTGCTGCCACACACACTTGACACCATCTGAACCAAGTAGGTTTATCTTGGTCTCATCAGACCACAGGACATTGTTCCAGTAATCCATGTCATTAGTCTGCTTGTCTTCACAAAACTGTGCGGGCTTCCATGTACATAATCTTTAGAAAAGGCTTCTCTCTGGGATGACAGCCATGCAGACCAATTTGATGCAGTGTGTGGCGTATGGTCTGAGTACTGACAGGCTGACCCCCTCACCCCCTCAACCTCTGAAGCAATGCTGGCAGCACTCAGACGTCTATTTCCCAAAGACAACCTCTGGATATGACGCTGGGCACGTGCACTCAACCTCTTTGGTCGACCATGACGAGGCCTGTTCTGAGTGGAACCTGTCCTGTTAAACCACTGTATGGTCTTGGCCACCGTGCTGCAGCTCAGTTTCAGGGTCTTGGCAATCTTCTTATAGCCTAGGCCAGTGATGGCGAACCTTTTTGAGCCCGAGTGCCCAAACTGCAACCCAAAACCAACTTATTTCTTTCAAAGTGCCAACACTGCAATGAAACCTGAATATCGAGCTTTTGGTTTAGAAAAAACAACTCGTACAGTAGTGCAAACTAATTAACAGTACAGGGATGACCAGAGACTGCGGACACAGTACAGGGATGACCAGAGACTGCGGACACAGTACAGGGATGACCAGAGACTGCGGACACAGTACAGGAGATGACCAGAGACTGCGGACACAGTACAGGAGATGACCAGAGACTGCGGACACAGTACAGGAGATGACCAGAGACTGCGGACACAGTACAGGAGATGACCAGAGACTGCGGACACAGTACAGGAGATGACCAGAGACTGCGGACACAGTACAGGAGATGACCAGAGACTGCGGACACAGTACAGGAGATGACCAGAGACTGCGGACACAGTACAGGAGATGACCAGAGACTGCGGACTCAGTACAGGAGATGACCAGAGACTGCGGACAGCACAGGGATGACTGCTGACCTTTGGGGAGGGAGGGGGAGCGGGTACCTGAATTTGACAGGTACCCGCTCTTACTTCCGCAGAGTTTTTTTTTTATCTTACCTGTTCCTTGATCCAGCCGCGCGCTGTCTTCCCGGCTTCTGTAGTGTGGGCGCTCGTCGGACAGCCGGATGCCCAGTGCGCATGCGCGAGAAGCGCTGCGCTTTGTGATTGGTCCGGCGGCTTCTGGGATCTGTCATGTGTCCCAGGTACCGCCTTACCATTCACAAAGAGCACTGCTTCTTGTGCATGCGCACTTGGGACCCGGCTGTCACGCACACTACAGCCGGGAAGACAGCGCGCCGCTGGATTCTCCTGGCGTGCCCACAGATAAGTCTCGGCGTGCCGGCTGTGGCACGCGTGCCACGGGTTCGCCATCACTGGCCTAGGCCATCTTTATGTAGAGCAACAATTGTTTTTTTCAGATCCTCAGAGAGTTCTTTGTCATGAGGTGCCATGTTGAACTTCCAGTGACCAGTATGAGAGCGCAGAAGCAATAACACTAAATTTAACACACCTGCTCCCCATTCACACCTGAGACCTTGTTACACTAAGGAGTCACATGACACCCGGGAGGGAAAATGGCTAATTTGGCCCAACAGTCAATAGGAGCTGCGGCGATTGAGCTGTAGTTTGGTATCAGATTGATGTGCTGATCGACTGCAGCTGATCTCGTATACGGAAAGGGTATATATTTTATGAGCAGACGTCTGATATCCACTCCGCCCCTTGAAGACGTCAAGTGACGAAACGCGTTGGGCCTGGCCTAGTGGATGTGACGTTGGAACGTTCCTCCCAGCTGTCGGCTGTTTGATCGCAGTGCAGGAGGTTCATCCGTTGGTTTTTCCCTTGTGGATGTGGCATTTTAGAGGCTGTCATTGCTGGTGTCGGCTAGACACCTTCTTTGTGAGTGCAATACTTTATTAATAAAATTTTACTGGTTTTAAACGTACTGCACCATCATATCTCTTCTTATTCCTCGAGCTTTGCCCATGTTATTGGAAGATCATTTGCTGCTTAGCTGTTCCACATGTGCTGCCTAGCTGTTCCATATGTGCTGATTGGATTACTATTGGTTGCTGTTCCTCTACTGGGATATCCGCTCCCAGAGGAAAATGCTATCATGCTGGTTTATAATATAATCAGCATATAGCTCTGGTGAGTGTATTCATTTCATCTGGTGTCGGATTTGCACATGGGTGTTTGTTTTCAAGATTGACATTAAGTTGATATTGGACTATCACTGTTATGGTGGCTGGACTTATGTTTATATTTATGAATTCATTTATTTTTATTATTTATCCTTGCATGTTTTGTGAATAATTAGCGCACTTTTTATTTGTACACTATTTTACCTTTTTTGGTTAGAGGTGCTGCTTATTTGATTTATTTTGCATTTTCTGTTGCGCTTCTTATATCTGCTACAAGTCTAAAGCTAGCCATACACCTATTTTTTTTTTTTTTAGCAGATGTCTCCATCCATACAAACAAGGTGGATGGAGGAATCCTCCCCAAAAGGGCATTGTATTCTGTCAGAATACACTGATCAGTGGTTTTAGCTGCTGATTGACAGAAGTCTTCCAACCTGGTTCTTCAGCAGACGTTGATCGAACAGTCGACTTCTGTTAAGCAGGAACGGCCACAGACTACTCAAAATTTGACCAGACCGTGCTGAATTTCGAACAGTTTATGCCCAGCTTTGGCATGTGACCTACTACGGTTTACAGTAGAGCTACCTATGAGGATGAAAATTTCAATCCATCTCCTTAACTCAAGCCTGCCTGTAGGTGTGTCAGATTGTTATTAGTCAAAATAATATCTTAGTACATTACACACAATTTTATAAATCATTATTTTATGCTTTTTTATTTATCTAGAAGACTTTGCAGAATAAGTGTTATAATACCCTTTATTGATCCATACTAATAGAGTGTAGGATATAGCAAAATTGTCAGTTTATCAGAGCAAACAACAAGCCCTGAATAAGAGAAGAGAGTGGGATGGATCCACATTGAGGGTTAAGCTTTCATTAGCAGAGATGAACAAAACAGATCCTGAATGGAGATTTAAATTTTCATGTGATCCTTGCCCGGATGCAAGGCCCCGGACAACCAATAGGATGCTTGCAGAATCTAAGGCTTGCACATGGTACTGGGACACAGAAGATGGTACCTGCAAAGAAAAAATACACATTCAACATTTTGGACTTGAATTAATCTTCAATGTCAAACATAGATTGACGAGACGAGACAGCATTCATTTTAATTAATATGCTAGTAGAGACTAATAGATTTGTTAGCACTAGTGAATTATTGTATATGCACCTGATACTTACTGCTTTCATGCTGATTTGTGAATATTCTGATATACTCTACACTGTTACAACTTTCTCTGTTTGGACACTGTCCGCATTGGCTCCTGGTTCAGTAGGGAGCTCCTTGGTGTTTATGTATCAGGCCATGCATATATGGCCTTCAGAGCAGCTTGTATAGCAATCTTTAACCACTTCCCGACCGGCCGTTGTATATAAACGGCCGGACGGTGGCACTGCAGGGTCGGGTGGCCGTCTATAAACGGCCTCCCCGCACCCTGCTTGTGCGCGCTCCCTGGGAGCGCGCAGCACCGCGATCCGGTGCCCGCTGTGTCCTCCGGACACAGTGAAACACCGATCGTCGGACGGGACCTCTGTACGAGGTCCCGATCATGTGATCACTGATTGGCCAATCAGTGATCACATGCAAAGTAGTAAGCAAGATGTCACTTCTGACATCATTGCTTACTATGTGTGAAATCTGTGAATGATCACAGAGGTCACATGGTACAAGGCTATTCACAAAAGCCTTGTACCATGTGACAAGCTGTGACCAATCACAGCTCACTCAGTTCTTCTCAATGAGTGCAAGAATGCACACAGAGAGAAAGAGAAATGATTGCTTTTACATCCTATATGGGTGTAAAAGCAATCAGTGTAAAAAAAAAATCTTCATCACCCCTCACAAGTAGTACAGTGTCACCATGGTGACACTGTACTGCTAGGGTGACAGTATATAAAAAATAATAATGTAAAAAAAATGTTTAAAAATTATAATTTTTGCTTATAAACTAATTTGGATTTTTTTTTTTTACTAAAAAGATAACGGAATAAATTTTGGCTAAGATTTATGATGAAATATTATTTATTTGCAAAATTTTATAAAAAAAACACTTTTTTTCAAATTTTTTGGACATTTCATTTACATAGCAAAAAAAAAATACAAATCCCAGTGGTGAATAAATACCACCAAAATAAAGCTTTATCTATCTCAAAAAAATGGTAAAAAATTCATTTGGGTACAGTGTTGCATGACCGCGCAATTGTCATTCAAAGTGTGATAGTGCTAAAAGCTGAAAATTGCCCTGGTCAGGAAGGGGGTAAAAGTGTCCGGTCTGGAAGTGGTTAACTAAGCATTTGCAAGGCTTCTTGAAGTCTTTAAAAAAAACACTTCCAGCTTGAAGATGGTAAATGAAACCTTTCATGAGAGAGCTATGGAATCTGAAATTGCTAGTTTCCTGGCTGTCATGTTTACCATCTTACTTCAATACTTTGTGTCCCTTACCCGGAACAAGCATGCAAATAGAGATGTCTCACTTAATGCATGCTTGTTTTAGGTCAGTAACTTAAAGCGTAAGTTCACCTTTCAGAAAGAGTTTTAGAAAATCCCCCCAATGCAATTTTACATCTAATGAATAGTACATAGCATAGCTCCTCCTGTTGGAAATGGTGAAGGTCCTCCCATTCCAGATGTAGTTGTTTTGCACCCACTCCAGAAAAACTGCTGGCTCCTCCTACTTCTCAAACGATAGGACGAGATGAATTTCACTATACTGCACCCCCTAGAGACTGTTCTGGACTTTTCAAACTGCACCCATGTCCAGTAATTCCTCTCTGGCTCCAGCTAACCCTAGTAGCGGCCCCCCTTGGTCATGGAAACTTGGCATGTGCACGTTCTCCTCCTTCAGCTGAGCGTACTGCACATGTGCGGAGTTTGAGCAGCTCAGAGAGGCTGCTACTGACGTTAGCTGCAGCCAGGAATGGAAGGATCTTAACTATTTCAACAAGAGGAACTATGATATGTATTATTGGATGTAGAACTGGACTGGAAAATTGGGATTTTCTGAAAAACGTCCTAAAAGGTGAACTTACACTTTACACCTCATTGAATTCAGGTTACTAGCTTCTTCAGAAGGTAATTGGAAATGGCAGCTCCCATGTAGGAGAGGAACTCTTTTCTTATTGAATAAAAAGTGTCAAAACACTGCATGCATTTTGTTGCAATTCCATTAAAGTCTATGAAGCCAAAATCTCACCAAAGAAGGACATGTTGCAAAAATGGCCAAGTAAAAATCACATAAGTGTGAACAGGCACTACAGGAAAAAGAAAAGATGGGATTCTTCTGGTCGGCTAATGTCATACGATGGACAAAAAAATTACACAGATATAAGCACCTCCAAATACCTGTGTCTGATTTCAATATAGCTTTCTCACTGCTTAGTGGAGTTCTGCTTGTCACTCACATCCAGTGACGAGGGAGTGGGGCCGAACTGCACTGTGTATGTCAATGTGGCAAAAGACACAAAGAGTGTGGCTCAGGGTTCCTATGGTGGCACATGGAGCAGAGGAGGAGCAGACAGCACAGATGGGGGACCCAAGAAAAGGAGGATCAGGACTGTTCTATGCAAAACCATTACACAGAGCAGATACGTATAACATGTTTGTTATTACAAAAAAAATAACTTTACGATCACTTTAAACTTCAAATGCTTCATAACTGGTGGCTGAGATTTATATGATCAGTATTCACATAACACACGCTTATAAAGAATTACTTTAACCTCTGTTTCAACATGTTAATAATGTCTGACCTCAATTTTGATAACGGTGAAATCAGGTACAGGTGGGTTGTAGAGGAGGGCACGAGGGTCTCCACTGAAAGGTGTTGGAGTAAAGAGTTTGTTAGTGGCAGGAGCTGACGTGTAGGTCAACATCTCACACAACGTGTCCACATCTATAAACTTAGGGGTGAGTCCAGCACGGACTGTATTGTCAGAACAAGCCATGCACTCCACACAGTCTGCAGAAGAAATAAGAAGACATACATGTTACCACATGGCAGAGAAAATAGATCATGGATTTCATCTATCAGTTACTTTTGTTGTAGAAATTAGATTGAGATGACTTGTGGTTCCTGGGGAAATACTCATGCAAATATCACACTGTATGTTATAACACATATGATTTTATATACTGTCAAATCTACTAACCCCTAATATTGTATTTAATTATTAGAATCAATAAACCAGCCAAGCAAATTGCATCTTTATTTTCACTTTCAATAATTTTAATTCAAACATTTTCTAAGTACAGGCTATAGCAGAAGAGAAAAATATTACCAGTTACGAAAATTATTCCCATAGGTGAATTGCATCTTTACTTTAAATGCAGAGACATCCTAGAAATAGAAATACTAAGTGAAGATAGAAAGTGGCCTCAGCCTAGGCTCCTCAAAGTTTATGCCACGGGGCGAAACGCATCAGTGGGTGTTGCCTGATACTAGGCTGAGCTTCCTTTCTATCCTTAGTATATTAGCCATTAGGACTGCGATGTCTCAAACAATGACGATACTTGAACAAAAATTAGCTGTATGGTTGAGTTGCCAGAAAGAAGCTTTTACTTCATCAATGCCACAAAAAAAGTCCAGTGAGGCATGTCAAGGTGTTGTCGACCATATTCTAACCAGACTTTTCTGTGGCATTGGCGCAGTAAAGGCTTCTTTCCGGCAACTCAACCATGCAGCTAATTTTTTTCAAGTATTGTATCATGCTCCGTAAAAACAATCACACCGACTTTTTCCAGAGCAGCCTGTATTTCTCCTGAAGTTACCTGTGGGTTTTTCTTTGTATCTTAAACAATTCTTGCAGTTGTGGCTGCAATCTTTCTTGGTCTGCCCGACCTTGGCTTGGTATTAAGATATCCCTGAACTTTCCACTTCTTAATGAGTGACTGAACAGAACTGACAGGCATATTCAAGGCTTTGAATATCTTTTTTTTCCTTTTCCTTTACACGTCTTTTGACAGTTATTTCCTGTTCCCCATGGCTCAGTATCCACCCTGCTCAGTGCATCTATGTGAGAGCTAACAATCTCACTGACTATTTATACACAGACACTAATTGCAATTTAAAAAGTCACAGATGTGGGAAATTAACCTTTAACTGCCATTTCTACCCGTGTGTCACCTTGTGTATCTGTACCAGGTCCAGACATTGCAGGGTATGTAAACTTTTGATCAGTGTCATTTGCGTGATTTCTGGTATCATTATGATTTAAAAAGGAGCCAAACAACTATGTGATAAATGGCTGCAAATGGTCACTAAATAAAATATAATTGCCAAAATTTCAGGATTTCTGCCAGGGTATGCAAACTTTTGAGCACAGTTGTGTGTGTTTTATTTATTTTTTTTTACAATCCCTGAGTTCAATAAACAAAAATGAAAAATTGTGTGTGCTGCCATTTTGGTCATTATGACAAATGCACTATTGTATATATCAATTCACAGCCATCTTTACTACGATTGAAGAATTCATTTTGCAAAATGTATGTGTATCCTCATGCAAGCTACTCACCCCCCTCCAGATATGCATGAGGTTCATTGGCTCCGAGATACATGGCTTCTCCTGGCTGCAGGTTTACCACGTTGAGGAAATAGATGGCAAAACAGCCAATATCTCCTGGGAACTGCGAGTTTAGTGTCAAGAGCAGATCTCCAAGACAAGACAACACATTACCTCCACTTTGAACTGGAAAACAACAAATGTGCTTTTTAGATATAGACATCAGCATGAGATATATACCCTAAAAGGTAAGGTGACCCTGTGGATTATATGTATCTAATTCTTTGATGATCACCTGGGCCCATTTTCTCTCAGATTTGTGTGTGCAGTGGCAACCACTGGATTATTTCTCTCTATATATATTTATATGCACTAGGGCAGGGGTGGGCAACTGTGGCCCTCCAGCTGTTGGTGAACTACAAGTCCCATCATGCCTCTGCCTTTGGGAGTCATGCTTGCAACTGTCAGTTTTGCAATGCCTCTTGGGACTTGTAGTTTTTCAACAGCTGGAGGGCCACAGTTGCCCACCCCTACACTAGGGTCATTGGTTTAAATCCCAACCATAACACTACCAGCCTGGAGTTTGCATGTTCTCCTGTGCCTCGGGTACTCCGGTTTCCTCCCACACTCCAATGACATGCTGCTAGGTTAATTGGCTCCTGTCTAAATTGTCCCTAGTATGTGTATGTATGAATGTGGGTTAGGGACCTTAGACTGTAAGCTCTTTGATAGCAGGGACTGATGTGAATGCACTATAGATAAACGTATCCTGCAAATAAGTACCTGCAAAAAATAAATAATATATATCTTAGCACAGGGACACTCCAAAGAATCATAGTATTGCAGTACTATAGCTGCTTCAAAATATCTCCATATCAGTGTCTCCATATCTGCAGTTTCCTACCTACGTCAACTGAATTGAGATGCTTAAAATAACACAGATACCCATCAGAAAATGCACAGCTATTCCTGTCAATACAACATACAATTTCATTTCATCTGATATGAACAAATCTGAGGCTAAATCCAGCAACCATAGCACAACATATGACAGCCATGTTTACTTATCTTACATGGCACGGGACATGTGGTGAAATGATGGGACATGTGCATCTTTTTTAGTTTAGTGAACTGTGTGCAATATTTTATACTTTAAAGTGATTCTAAAGGTAATTTTTTTTTAAAATAGCAAACATATTATATTTTACCTGCTCTGTGCAATGGTTTTGCACATAGCAGCCCTGATCCTCCTCTTTTCAGGTCCCCCATCAGTGTTCCTGGCTCCTCCCCACTGCAGAGAACCTCCATAAGCAAACCGTTTGCTCTAGGGGCACTCGTGCGAGCTCACTCTTGAGATGGCTCTGTGTATCTATAGACACACAGAGCGCAGCTCGACCCCAAACCTTTGACGTCCCTCCTCACTGGCTGTGATTGACAGCAGCAGGAACCAATGGTTCCCACTGCTGTTTCTGAGCCAATGAGGAAGGAGAGAGCGGCTAAGCTTTGGAACTCATAACTTTCAGACAGAATGAATAAACTTTTCTTGTTTCTCAGGTTGTAGGCTTGTAGCTCATTACATTTCTATCTGACTTATTGTGTGTTTTTTCCTTTTATTTCATAAGCATGTGTCCTGTATAAGGTGCTTGTGAAGGTTTCTACTTTACTTTTTTACATTATTTTAATGACAGGAACTCTTCCAATCCCTTGAGGAGCACTCAACTGTTTAAATACTAAGACAACATTACAGGTATCAGCAGAAAAATGAGACAGCCAATAAATGGTAAAACAAAATTTCGTAATCCTAAAAAATATGACTCCAGAGACTCTCTGTCTTATTGAGTAGATGGGACCAAAGTTTGGCAAAATTTACTTACACAGTAACCCCACTTTTGTTGAAAAAATAAAAAAACAATCCCCTCTGCATGATATATATACATTTCAGGGATTGTAACACACTTTTTTGCTGAGTCCTACCTGTTGGTGCTCTGAAAAAAAAGCTGTTTGTTGTCTGCAGACTGAATCTGGGTGGGAGTGATTTTTCATTATTAATCAGCTGATGCACTTGCAGTGTTCTAATGAGAAGAGTGGAAAGGCCTGCATCATTTTAGAAGTGATTAACCCTTTGGGGTATCTCACCAAAAATTTAATTTTTGTTGCAGAGGATGCCTAATATCTGGCTTGTATCTGAGTAGAGACTTCTGGGAAAATCAGTGAGCCACTCCCACAAGCAGAAAATAAAATTTTTAGTGATGTTTTGTACACCAATGCCTCCAGGTTGCCATATTGCATTGACTTTTACAGAAAGTTACAGTGCTGCAGATTGAAAAGGAAAAGAAATTTTAATAACATTCAATTATAATATGGCTTGTGTAGCAAATGTATATGCTGTGTATTTTTCTATTTTCTCCCAATAAAAGTGGAGTTACCCTTTATTACATACAAAAATGCAGCACAATATACCTTTTATGTAGCTTGGGGTAGAGAAATAGTAAAGAACACTGATAGTGTAATTTATGAGGACTTAAAGCATATATAAACCCCAAAACAAACATTTTATATATTGATGTGGTGGTTGCATTAGTATTCTTTTTATAGACTTTTTCCTTTATTTCCACTTGATAGTTCTGTGAATAACACATTTCAAGTTCCATTGTGTCTACACTCCCTTCCCTATGGTGTCTATGGAGGGAGCCATGGTTGCTACACAGGACAGCCTTCAAACATGTCTGCCTTTGTTCATCTCCATTTGATTTGATTAATAGTTTACAAACTAGAAAACTTTGTTTATACTGTCTTTCTGGCTCACAGAAAGTGACAAAGACACTGCATTTCTGGCAAGATCAACAGGTTTTTCTGTACTTGCTAAAAATGTTATTAATCTGAAAAAATTAAAACGAATGCACACATCTAAAGACTGGCGCGCTGCAATATATTGCATTTGTGTGTTTAGGTATACTTTAATAAGGTATCCGATTATACATTTCATGCATTAAGGGCTGGTTCACACTAGGAATCGTACAGGAAAGCAATCTCGTTCCTGTGCGATTTGAGTACAGTGTGTTTTTAGCCATATCATTTAAATGGGCTGAAATCGCATTGCACCACACCAAAAGTAGTGCCTGCAAAAAAAATATAAAAAAAAAAAATACACTGCAACTAGATCGCATGGTCATTCTGTCACATGCGATCCTGTACAGAAAAACGCACTGCGTTTGCAATCTTCGTTAATGGGGTGTCGTTAGCATTGCGCCCACTGCAAACTGCAAAGGCAAGGCATTTTGAACTTGGTGAGGGAAATGCACACAGAATGTGTATTTCCTGCACTGCGGTCATGTTGTGATAGGGGTCCTAAAAATAGGTGGAAAAAAGTAAAAAAAATTATAAATAGTCCTTTTAGTTCCCCTATAAGACAAATAACCAAAAAAATAAACAAATTAGAATGCGTTTATGTAGCAGTAAAGAAAACGGTTTACCTTGTTGCTTTACGCGCTGTACCAACAATTGAAGCTGTTCTGCGTACTCCTCCTTACTTCTCTGCATCATACAGGTGAAACATCGCTGGAGAGCCGTACGTACCGCCACATCTTTGGACAGATCTGCTGCACTTGCCTCCAACTGCTGTGCTGCATCCTGGCCAATGAGTGCACGGAACTCAGGAACATCTGAAACACAGGTGAGTGGCAGACATTTTTTAGAATGATCCCGGGGTATATCCATTGTGTTATATGAAGATCAATATAGTCATACCCCGCAAAAAGGCTACAATCTCAGATATAGGTCTGAATCCACAGAGACCCCGGAAAGGTGTGAGGGCAATGGCCATTTCTGGTTTGTGGTTGTCATCAGGGTAATGCTGTGGAAACTGAGCATGCAGCTTCTTAGCCAATGCCTATATGTAAAGATATTAGGGGAAAGAGATGATAGCGATGTGTTACTACTGAGAATAGGTAGAAAAGTTATTAAACTGGAAATGGAAGAAAGAACACAAGATTAATTAAGAAGAATGATATTCTGAGAAATATAAAAGTGTTCAATTTTAACTGCCACCTCTAAAGCTGGCCATAGATTAACAACTTTTTTTTTGATTAGCCAGGGGGCTGATTGAAGAAAAATTTAATGGATTCCACCATCCACACAAGAGAGGAAGATTGAGACTTTCGAGTGCAAAATCTGGTGCAAATCTGCATAGAAACCAATCAGCTGCCAGTTGTTTTGGTCAAAGCTAATAGAACAAGCTGAACTTAGTAGCTGATTAGCTACCATGCATAGTCACACCAGATTTTGCTCTCTCCAGTTTTAGTAAATCAACCCCATTGCATTCTGACAGCGAGGACTCTCTTCTGTCAGAATACAATGATCAGAAAGCTGCAGCTGATCAAAAAAGGTTTTCCAGCATTGTTAGATCGACTTCTGTGGAAGCAGCCACACATGGATCAAAATGTTCCTGGTCAGATTTTGCTGAACTGGCCGAACTTCAATCTATCTATGGGTAGCTTAACTTTCAGCTGTCACAGTGATATCTGTATAGTCCGCATTGCTGTGCAGAGGTTACATTTTAAAGCAGACATAAAAGACACAAATGAATGAGACTATGCAGTCATTCATTCATTTATCAGAAATGTTTTTTTTAAGCAGTGGAAGTACTTGAATTTACACTAGTATCAGCCTTTAGCATATGCTATACAGCAGAGCTCAGAATAGGAGAGGAAAAAGCAGCACGAGCAGCCAATCAGCTCTTGCACTGACAAGAAGCCTGCTGATAGGAAGCTAAAATAGAGTGATGGAGAGATGAACAGGGAGTGGGTGCTTGGCTTAAAGTGATAGTAAAGGCTCATTTTTTTTCATCTGAAAAAAAAAAAAAGAAGAGGTGTATACGTACCTGCTCTGTGCAAGGGCAAGAGCGGCCCCTTACCTCCCTTTCTGGGGTCCCCTGCTGACATTGTCCGCACTTTCTTGTCTCCAGATGTCCCCATTGCAGCCGCTTTCTATGGGGGCACACGCATGGGCGAGCTTCCAAGCCAGGCTGTTTGCATCTATAGACACCCAGTGTGGCTTGGTCCCATCTCACACTCCTCCTCACTGGATTTGAATAAAATCAACAGGAGCCAAAGGTTCCCACTGCTATTAATCTGCCCTGTGGGACCAGGAAGTGAGAAAGCAGCGCTGCTACAGTCTGGCACAGTGTTGGATCCGATACAAGACTCAGGTTACAGGTAAGGATACAGGTAAGTATTCAGGGAGGAGGGAAGGAAACAACTAGTGAAAGTTTTTTTTATCCTAAAGCAAGTAATGCACTTTTGGACAAAAATAATAAATGCACATTTTTTTGCAGGCAAAAAAAATATGTATTATTATTTTTGTCCTAAGGAGCCTGTAAAGCATTGCACCAGCGATCAGTAGATAGCTGATGCCATGCAGGTCTCCTGCAGACCTGTCAGAAAACCTGCTTGCCATATGGGATGTACAGCGAGGCAGATGTACTGACAGGAAGCTTCAATGAACTACCTCAGTGCTCCACAGCGCCGTGGTTTTTCATTGAAAACTAAAAGCCAACTGCTATGGGAACAGGTTATGTTCCACCCTAAAAAACAGGTGGAACGTAACATGTTCCAAAGGTGAACTTTTCCTTTAAGGTAAAAAAACCTTGTGACTTTAGAACCACTTTAAAGGCACCATGCACACTAGCGGGTTTTTTTTTAAGCTTAAAAATTCTGGATAAAAAATGCTGGTAATAGTGTTTTTAGTAGTGTTTTTAGTAGCATTTAGGAGCGTTAGCATTTTATTAGCCTTTTCAGTATATGTAGAGGAAAATAAAAGCTAGAAAAAAAGCTATCAGGAGTGTTTTAGTAGCGTTTAAGAACGTTTAGTGTTTTTTTTTTTCTGCTGGAAAAATGCTCCAAAAAACTCTACAAAAACAATTGTTTTTTCTACTCCGAGACGCTGAAGCTAAAAAAAAAAAAAATGCTAATTGCCTAAAGTGGTGTGTATGGGCACATAGGAAAACACTATTTAGCTTCTAGGAGCAGAAACAAAAAACGAATAACAGCTTTGAGGAGCTTAAAAAAACCGCTAGTGTGCATGGAGCCTAAGGCCTGAGGCACACTAGATGTTGCTCTTAGGGGCGTCTGGTGCTTTTTTTTTTTGCCTCTAAATGTCCCTCTGCATGTTTGCCTATGCGTCCACGCACACTTCGCTGTTAGTCCTCATTCACTCTGGACGTTTTGATGACGCTGGTAAAAAATTTTTGGCAGAAAAAATACTAGGTGTGTTTAGTGCTTGAGTGTTAATTTATTTCATAATAGCTTATTCTGGCCATTGAAAATAATTAATGCCCAAGTGCTTGACGTGCTTAAATGCCTTAGCACAGGGGTTAAAATTTAGAGTCCAGACCTACTAGCCGGTCACAAAACTTAGTTGCCCTCCACCAGTTGCCCACCCAACCTTGCCCAGGTCCGCCCCCAACCCCACCCCCCTGGCCCTCCCCCAACTACGCCCCCTTAAAGCTTATGAAATTACATTTTTCTTTAGAATAAATAGCCCAAAATATAAAACTGTACACAGTAATGTATATTCCAGCTCCCCTGTACTCCATTATAGTGATATGACATGTATACAGTAATGTACATCCCAGCTCCCCTGTACTCCATTATAGTGATATGATATGTATACAGTAATCATTACTGTATACATGTCATATCACTATAATGGAGTACAGGGGAGCTGGGATGTACATTACTGTATACATGTCATATCACTATAATGGAGTACAGGGGAGCTGGAATATACATACTGTATACATGTCATATCACTATAATGGAGTACAGGGGAGCTGGGATATACATTACTGTATACATGTCATATCACTATAATGGAGTACAGGGGAGCTGGGATGTACATTACTGTATACATGTCATATCACTATAATGGGGTACAGGGGAGCTGGGATATACATTACTGTATACATGTCATATCACTATAATGGAGTACAGGGGAGCTGGAATATACATTACTGTATACATGTCATATCACTATAATGGAGTACAGGGGAGGGGGGATATACATTACTGTATACATGTCATATCACTATAATGGAGTACAGGGGAGGGGGGATATACATTACTGTATACATGTCATATCACTATAATGGAGTACAGGGGAGGGGGGATATACATTACTGTATACATGTCATATCACTATAATGGAGTACAGGGGAGCTGGGATATACATTACTGAGTATCTCGGCTTCACAATGAGGCTTGGAGCGCAGGTGCAGTCGCTCCATGCTTTATCTGTGCTCACCGCTCGCAGCTGCTCGCCACAGAGGAATTTCTCCTCGCATTTGGCGAGCAGCTTTTTCAAGCCCTGCTTTAGCACAAGTGTCAAGCGTTTTTTTCTTCCATAATGCCGTTGCCTGGAGGAAAGGAGAGATGGCCAAAGCTTCCAGTGTGCATGAGGTCTAATGCAACCCAGAGGACTGAGGATATCTTGTGGCAGAAAAGAACTACTGTGGGACCCAGATCTGGATTGAAGATGACTATATCAGCAAAAGCTGCTTTTTTTATTTTTTCTCTTAATGGGCTATTATTTTTCATCTTTTAGAAAAAATTATAAATGCACATATTTTTTGCAGGAAAAAAATGTGCACTTTTTTCCCCCACAGAAGCCCGCAGAACATTGCACTCGTAATCAGTGAATTGTGGGTGTAATTCTAGGCTCCTGCTACTCTTCCTCTGCTCTCTGTCTGTACAGAGATACAGGCTTTCAGCTGCAGGACTAGAGGAAGTGTCAATGGACTATGAGTGTGGTGATCAGCACACTTGTGTTCCATTAAATTGTATTGTAACTGCAATGTCTACCTTATTTTGTAAAGCGCTGCGCAAACTGTTGGCGCTATATAAATCCTGTATAATAATAATAATTAAGAATTATAAGTCTGTCTGTCATAGTGGAACATAGAACTTGTAGTTCTTTGTGAATGAATGACATGGCTGTGTGGCATGGCAAAACATGAAACTAGCATTTAAGAGATGCAACCAAATTACTTCTCTCTTTTTATGTTTCTAGCACAAATAAGAAATTAACAGAAAGAAGCCAACATCATAAACAGTTCAGCCCTTTTATCAATTATAATCCCCCCCACCACGTCATGCAGCACCCAACTTACCTTGTCTGGGTGGGCCTGGATAGACAGTGCTAGCCTCACTGACAGCACTTTAAATAGAAAAGGAAGCTGACTGTCAAAAGCTTCTCTGACTTTCGTCCCAAGACAATCCGGGTGAGCAGCAATCCATTGCCCCAGAGTCTTGTGGGCTACGCCACTATGTAGGATTACAGCGTCACCTTTTGGGTGAGTTCCCATCCATAACTATTGGAGAAAATTAGGAAAGCAAGATCATCAGTAAAAACAAATCAGTTCGGGTTTATATGAGTAGTAAATGTGGAGAACGAAAAAGAAACATTTGTGAAAAAACAAAACAGGATTAAAGTGGACTTAAAACATCCACACTCAACCATACAGCACAAGCCTGATATTGTGTTTCAGCATCTGTGACATTCTACACCTCCATTTTCAACAATGCTATCCTATCGTTGGTATGTTGTTTCTTCTGCAAATACTGTCAGCACTGTCCCCAGCTCCCAAGCAAGTAGTAAATACTGTACCTCCTGGCGCACCAATCCCCTATTCCTAAGGGGATATTTCATTTAAAAAAAATCTTGTTCTCCTATTCCTTCTTTCTTCTCTTTGATTTAAAGACTGTGGGTATTCCAGAGTATTTACCCGTCATCTCCTCTGTAAATTTCAAATATGCAACTACCGTACTTCTTTTCTATTTCAACTCTTGCCTTCCTTGTTCTAATGAAAAATTAAGTTTGTCAGCAAGGCATTACCTGACATGTCTATTAAGGTGTTTTTGGAAACTAAGCTTCCTGTACTCCACTTTACTTATTGCTGCAACCGGAATGCCCTCTTGGAAGGGGACCTAGTTTGGTTGAATGCTTATATATCTGCTATCTGGACGTTCTTTTAAACACTCTGAATTTGAAACTTGTACTCTACAGTATTCAAAAATTGGTGCAGTGCTGAAGAAATTAATATATAAAAGTGCACTATCAAGATATTATTGATATAAAAAATATTAAACACAAGTGATAACATGGGAGTGAATGAAGCGCTACAATGAGCGCAAATAAACAAGTGCGGCTGTGAAAGTCATAAAACAAAGAAAGTGTTCATATGATGGTGAGGGTCTGACAAACACCAGTCAAAAAATTGTGCCACCTACAGATCCTGTTGCACAGGTGGTATCAAAATATTGCATACTAAACAATATGGTAGTGTGACCAGAGCACCCCTACCCAAGGAAAGGAGGTTATTAAATGATCCACGTTGACGAAGTCTGCAGTGATTGGCGGACGAAACGCGTCAACGTAATGACGTCACTACGCTCGGCGTCTTCATAGGGTGCGGCGCCCACAAGGTGGGAAGGAACGGCGGTGTCACAGCTCCCTGCTAGGAAGGCACGAGGCCCTCTGAAAACTACCATAAGGCTACTATTACAGCGGTCTGCAAACGGCAATCCCCCATGGGAATATATCTTCCACCGGTGGCAAGTTATTTTAGCTCACTGCTGTTTAGACTCATAGAGCATATATGGAGTTAAGAGGGTAGGTTATATGTGCCTAATTTACCCTATTCTTTTGGGGAATTTTTTGGTAATCCTCTTTAGAGGATATTGAGGCACTGTTTGCTGTGACAAAGCCATATCCTATATAAACCGCTTTATTTTTCTCAGTTTGAGTAATTTTTGGAAACCCTTCATTGGGTATATAGACTCAGGTACTCACGGCCTGTTACATACATAATATATGTGTTTGGGAATTATGTATTGAGACCACCTGGCTTCCCACCCCCATATGCATCTTTAAACAAGCATCAAGGACCTGATCCTATTTCAAGTCGACGGGAGTCTTCTTGATCCTCATTGATGGTAATATACCCATATTTTGTTTTTGTTTTCAGGGTTTAATTGATGCTTTGTGTTCTATACTATAATTTTTATATATATCCCCAGAATAATTTGGTACTGTGGACTTTTTTTCACTTGGGGTGGCTACCCAGGAAGTCTCCACAACTGAGAAGCGGGTATGACAGGCTTACAACTGAGAAGGTAATGAAGTGTTCATTGACCACTGTATAGGGAGGTCTGGTGGGCTTAGCTGTGATTAGCTCCTACATCTTCATATATACTTATTTCTATTTTTATGTTCCAGTTTCCACGGGCCAGAAGGCTATTCTACACACCCTGGCTCATATGGAAAATATACTTACCGAACATATGGTTTATCCTAATACAAGCTGGAGATCTATGGAAACCTAGAACCAAAGCCACACCACTACCTTACATTGCCTTATATGGTACTCTACTTGCCAAAATGACCCAGAAATGAGGACGCCAAGTGCTTTTAAAATGATTTTAATTGTTTGATATGTACACCGTGCTCATGTTTAACCTCCCTATGATCCATGTGATCGAATAAAATACTGTCTGTAATCTTTGAACCCATATTACTCCGCGTGGATCATTTAATAACCTCCTTTCCTTGAGTAGGGGTGCTCTGGTCACACTACCATATTGTTTAGTATGCAATTCTTTTTGGGTTTATGGATCCACACTTACATGTTAAGTGAGTCGGAGATATGATTATGACACTAGTTATTAGTGTCATTATAGGTGGCTTTCTTTAGTCTATTTTTGTGAGGTATCAAAATATTCCATGTGACTTTAATCCGTGCAGGGAATTTGATAAAAATGCGCACTCACCAGATGCGCATAGTAAAAGCTGACCTCATCAGAGTCTTGAGTGCTCGCTGATCTTGTATTCAACATAATACTCTACAGTATTGCTGCATGCTAAACTGAAGTATGCAATAAGGCCTCATGCACACAGGACCTTTATTTAACTTTCCTACGAGCCAGCAGCGTTTTTGCAGAAAAAATGCTGACGCTTCCAAAAGTGTCTAAAGCTTTTAGGAGCTTTTACAGGTTTCAAGCTCTTGCCGTTAATTCATTTCAGTGACCAGAATAAATAATTTATTCTGACCTTTGAAATTAATTAACGCTGTAGCGCTTAACATGCCTAGCGTTTAGACATGTTTAGGTGCATTTAGCAGCATCAAGAGTTTTTTCTGCCCAAACTCTGATGCTCCTGGACGCATTGGCAGTGGGGTTTTTTTCCTGCCTCTACTGTAAAAGCTATGTGTGCCTTGGCACATAGGATAACATGGAGGAGTGTTTAAAAGCAGTAAACACAAACTCTTGATGCCCCTAAGGCTTCATGCACAGAGGACGTTTTAAAAACACTCCTCCTCTTGGCAGTAGTGTTTTGGCAGAAAAAACGCCTGACACATAGTCAAGTGTGTAAATGTGTCTAATGCTTTTACAAGCATTTAGGCGCATTTACAGGCGTCAAGCGCTTGGTCAATAATTAATTTCATTGGCCACAATGATAATTTATTGTGGCCATTGAAATAAATTAACATTCAAGTGCTAAACGCAACTAGCGTTAAAATATGTTTACATGTGTCAAGCGTTTTTTTCTCCAAAACACTGCTGCTCCTGGATGCACTGACCCTGGGTTTTTTTTCCTGCCTGTGAACATCCATGCCACTAAAAGCTTTTAAAAGTCTATGTGTGCATGGACACATAGGATAACATGGAGGGGCATTTTTAAGCCCTGATGCCCCTAAAAGTGGCTGCAATAACGTCCTGTATGCATGAGGCCTTAAAGTGGCTGCAAAAATGCCCTGTGTGTATTAGGCCTAAAACCTATAATAAAAAGAAAAAAAACCTGGCATTGCACAAATATGGATCAGCTTCTCTATGCCCATTGAAATCCTTATTAATGGCAAATGAAGGGATGAGGAGGCAAAGCTTCTATCATGCCTTCTTCAGCCTGTCCCAAGCCATCTCTGCCCCAATGTTTGATTATCACCTCCTCTTTCACTCTCCCCAATACTTGATGAGCTCACACTTTGCCTCCCATCTCTTTCTTTCTCAATCTGCTGCTACTCTGTATCTCCCAATGTTCTAAGGCCAGCTGTCTCTCCTCTTCCCCTCCACTGCCTCATGACCCCATGGTCTAAAACCAAGTTGCCATTTTGTCTCCTCTGATCCCCTGCCCATACTGTCTCCTGTTTCTTCATCCTTCCTGTCCATGATCAGTTCCCCTTTTCTGCCTCCTGTACCCAACAAAAACCATTTAGCCTAAACCCATTCATAAATGGCACATCTGCTAATCTCATAAAAGTCCACATCCCCCAACTACCTTTGGTTCATTTTGTTCCTTAAAGCGGAGTTCCACTCACGCTGTCAAAAAATAAAAGTCAGTAGCTACAAAAACTGTAGCTGCTGACTTTTAAAAAACAGCCACTTACCTGTCCCTCGGTGGGTTCCCTGCAGCCCGTTACACCAGCAGTCCTGTATTCCTGGAGGCCGGTATCTTCAGTGTGGGAACCCGGCTGTGATAGCTTGCGGCTTCACAGCCAGGTACCCACTGCGCATGCGCGAGTAGCGCTGCGCTTCATGAATGGTCCTGTAGTCTTCTGGGACCTGTCACGTGTCCTAAAAGATTACAGGGAGGGAGGGAGGACACCTTCCGCTTCTGATAGACTAGGCGATCGGACCGGAAGTGGGAGCGGTTACCTGTCAAATTTGGGTACCTGCTCCCCCCCCCCGCCCCCCAAAGGTGCCAATCCTTAATGGGGAGCAGTCCTTAAAGCAGACCTTCCCCTTTTGGGTGGAGCTCAGCTTTAATTTTGCATTACTAAAATGGATGAATATTCCATCTTACAGGAGATAGAATGTCCTCTTCTGTTCTCTGCTTTATTTTGTTACAATCATAGTGGTGAGGAAGATACTTTTTTTTTTATTATGTGGCTGCAATCTACTACATTTTGCAGTATTTGAATTACACAGATCAGAAGAAGCGATTGTGCAGAAGTACCTTTATAGTATATTCATACTGTAGCTCACATCATTCTATCTCTAGTTTTTTTTTTAAGTGGTAATAAACCCAAAGGCAAAAAATGTATTATTTTGCAGCTTACCAATTCTTTTATTTGATGGCTGTATTAGTTTTCTTTTTTAACCCCTTAGTTACTGAGGGTAAAACAAATGTTAATGCCTAGGCACAATTTTGCAACTTTGACCTACAGTATGTTAGTAAAACTGTACATGTCATTGCAACTACTTTGTGTATCCAGGTGGATTATGCCTTGTGTTTTTCAGGACAAATTGGGCTTTCATTTGGTGGTAAAATGGAGATCTCCTGTTTTTTTTTTTATTATCAAAGGAAAGCTTGATCTAGTTATTTTTTTCTTCTATTTATTTATTATTCTTTATTTTTTATTTAATTTTTTTGTTTGTTTATATCTTCTTCTCCTGCAAGAAGAGAAATATACAATGTATCTTTCTTTTCATTCAGAAGAGGAAATAAACACTGGTGATTTGGAACCGGGAGTTAATGTGAGAGCCTAATCTCTGTGCTGAGATCAAACTGTGCGGCGCGCCACCATCGCAAAGGGGGTTACGCAAATATATAAAATTAAAGAGTTAAGTGCCGTGCTCTATGCATTGTTCTTCTCAAAAAATAAATGAAAAATTACCATTTTTACACCTCGTGCCAATATTTGAACAAAACAAAAAATATATAAGAATATATGCACATAAACAAAAATAATGAAAATAAAACATAAAAAAGTGAAAAAAACGAAAATTTTGTTTAAAAATAAAAAAATCATAAAATCATATAAAATAATAAAGAGTCCAATCATAAGTGGTGAATAAATAATCCCAAGTGCCCTGGAATAATATCCGGTTCCTTATAAATTGAATGCCGTATACTCTCCTTTATAGTATCCCGTGCTGTATAGCTGCAATGGTTAGTAGTAGTGTGAGTCACTGTCATAGGTAAGAGTAATCCTTCCCCAGCACTCTCCTCAATTAGATTCTCCTCCCATGGACCATAGGGAAAAGAAGAAAGAGGTACATAGTGTTTTATCTGCGTTAAAAGACTTTAATAAAGACTAGTAGTACACTCACATGGTGTCAATATCAAATGCGCCTTTTGTATATATACACAACCGCGGGTAGCGGTGTGACCAGCCTTGTTGGTGTGCCTGCGCACACTGTCAATACTCGCCGTGTCTGGCTTCGGATGCGTGATGACGTCACTGCCCCTCCCCTACGCGTTACGCCACAGGGACTCGTAGCTTCCTCTACATCCCCCACGTGAGGGTGAGCAAAGACGCCTGCGACACATTGTTTATATATACACTAATAGCTCATATACAAGTAGATATTTTGAAACCCCCTAGTGGCTCACAAGGAAATTTCATACTAACGCAAATATATAGCCCCACGGATAAAGACCCTCTTCTGTGAATATGCATACGGTTCGCAGGAAGGCATTAAGATCTTTTTTTTTTCCATTTACTTTCTAGTAAAGTTTGTTATTTTTCATTTTACTTTAACTAGTTCAGCTCTCTGGACATACTAGGCATGTCCAAAGAGTGAACTGTTAATCACAAGCTGATGGCTGCTACTGCAGCTGCTAACGGGTTCAAAGTGAAAAATGATGCAGTGACTCTTTAGCTGCCAATCACTTTCACAGAGTGGGTGACTCTCCCGCACTTACTGGGAATCCGGGACCACAGCCGCTGGCTTCAGGATGGAGAGAAGTGTGAGAATGAGCAAAATCCATGCCTCAATCTCACCTGTAAACAAAGAAACCGAAAGTGACGATGATTTACTCCAGGGGCCGGCAACCAGTCGACCACGATCTACCTGTTGACCCTGGGCAGGTGACAGGTAGATTGTAAAAATGTCCCTGCTTTGCCAACCCCTGCCACGTAGGTGCCATTCCTTCCTCCCTGCCTCTGCCGCTCTCATCCTCCTGAAAGAGTTGAGATTTGGAGGCAGCACAGCAGTCATCTTCTCCTCTCCCACTGTTGGCATTCGGATGCTGCAAGAGGAAAATCCAGGGGAGCGATTCCAGTAAATGCCTCTCTTGCTGCCACTCCTGTGCTTGTTCCTCCTTTTTCTGCTGCCCGGGCTCCCCCTGTGCTCCCTTTTCACCAAAGCAACAACCCAACAAGACTTGTAAACAAATTGTAAAATATTATAAAATATTAAATTGTTAAAAAAATTTAAATTGTAACAATAATTAAAAAAAAAAAAAAAATTAAATTAAAAACTACTGACACCATCCACTGCCCTACTGACACCGTCCCCACACAGTCCACTGCCCTTCTGACACTGTCCAATGCTCTACTGACTGACACAGTCCACTTTTAAGGTAAGATAAATAAATTTTTTTACAGTGACATTTGTTTTAATATATTTTACTACGTTTTCCTTACTGTTTAGCTAGGCCTTGATAGTCAATTTCTTCAAAAATAAAAAAGGGTGCTGAACCCCGGTGATCTTTGATCTCTTTTTTGTTGTTCAGGTAGATCTCCACCTCTCACAGGTTTCCTACCTCTGATTTAGTCACTTTTGATTTCAGATCCACAATTTCCTAACCGGTACAGCCAGATCTAACTGAGCAGATCTGTGCTTGGTTAGATGGTGTGTGTTAGGGGATCCCCTAATGTCTCCAAAAAGAGTAACTGACACCTGCCCAGTTTTAAGACTTGGCATGTTTTGTATCTATTTACTCAATGCAACCTTATATTTTACCAAAAAAATGGGTCTTATATTATATATGTTTGTACTAAAATAAATTTTTATTATATTTTTTGCTTAAAATTTGCATTTAATAAACAGTTGTGCAAATATCATGTGACATTCAAATTTAAAACTACCATCTTTTTATTCTACAGGACCTTTGCTTTCAGAAAATATATAATGTTCTGGGGGTTTAAGTAATTTATTTGCCAAAAATGAAGATGCTTACATGTGTGCAAAAAAAATGAAAAACATTTGCTCTACAGCCAAAGGAGTAGATTTACTAACAGAGAAGAGTGCAAAATCTGCTGCAGCTGTGCATAGTATCCAATCAGCTTCTAACTTCAGCTTGTTCAATTAAGCTTTGACAATAAAACCTGGAAGCTGATTGGCTTCTATGCAGAGCTGCACCAAATTTTGCACCCTCCAGTGTTAGTAAATCCACCCCATTGCGTTCAGATTAAAGTGAGTTTTTCATCAAGCTGTCCAGAAAAAAGTGGACGTTAGAGGGTTGGGACAAACCATTTATCACTGACAAAGGGGCATAAAATATTCAGCTTTTATCCATGTACAATGTAAAACCTTTATCTGGAAAGAAAAAATAATAATCATGGCTGTAGTTGCTAAATAAATGTAAGAGTACTTCTTTAATTTGTTAATCAGGTCCATCTAAATCTAAAAGTTCATCTAAAACTACCCTCTCCCCAGACTGACAAGGCTGCTCTCCAAAGGTGTCTCCATATCTCCTACACCCAAAGTGGAGACACCCTAAGACAGGAAGTGTGTTTCTGGTGGATCACCAGGTGAAAAAAAATCTAAACAAACAAAACTAGTGCAGCCATGATGTATAGGGACTGTCAGGGGCGGACTGACAACTCATGGGGCCCCCGGGCAATAGGGGATCATGGCGCCCCTGTGCCCTTGCCCAAACTCAAAAAAGCCTATGAAAAAGGTACCAGGGGCATCTCATGGGGCCCCCTACTGACCCCGGGCCCTCGGGCAGTGGCCGAGTTTCCAAATGGTCAGTCCACCCCTGGGGACTCTTGAGCTACAATATATATAATATTTTTTTGTGGGTTTTGTACCACTTTGATGTATGGTTTTCAGAAATGCAATCATAGCAAAACACTAGACTGAAGGGAACCGGGGATGCAGCTTTTATAAAAGGTCGCTTCCCGCGCAGTTTAAGAGGATGGCTTGACAGATTAGAAGGAGGAAGCCTGATGCCATAAATCTCCCATGATGCATCTGGATGGTATGAAGCTGCCTAGGCTCCTTGTAACCAGTATTTGTATTGTCACAAAAAGATTTTGTCGTGTGAGGGGATAGCAAGTCAGGGGGATTTACAAAGCAAGTGTCAGGAACAACATAAACTGGTACTGATACATTTTCATTTCTATAGCTTCAAATGAATAAAAATAATTTATAAAAGTGCCTCCTATAAATCAATACTAATTTGTACAATATTTTACAGTCTAACATGTCCATTTTTTAGGAATACCTCCGCATATGGCTTGGTAGGTTCTATCTGACGTTTGGGGTCACCACTAGCCCACAACCGAGCCACCTCACTGCTGCTGCCCAGCTTTCCCCATGCATAGTCTTGTACTGCACAAGAAAGAAGAAACACTGCAAAAAAAGGAAGGAGAAAACATTACAAACATAAGCAATAGGAAGTAAATAACCGTTACCTAACTAGTCTACAAAGTAACCCTCACAATCTATTCTACGTTCCACTTGCTGCATTGGCTGAAGTCATTAACTTACAGATCTGAAATAAACAGACTTATGCGCTGCCACCTAAAGATAAATATAATGGATCTGATGTAATGAATACTGCCGCTAGCACCTAGCTGTGTAATACATCACAGTATCAAAGTAAATTTAATAAGGTGCTGCAGCGCCATCAAAATGTGTATGATATTGTTATCAGAATTGATACCACAACCTGGTGCTGCAAGTCTTATTTCAAATAATCATAATTCATAATTCAATCATAATTCAAATAAAATATCATAAAGTGCATAGTGACATTTCAAATAAACTCTTTGTGTGTGTGTGTGTATATATATATATATATATATTTATATATATACATACATACATATACACAGTAAAGGAAATAAGTATTTGATCCCCTGCTGATATTGAATGTTTGCCCACTCACAAAGAAATGATCAGTCTAAAAATCAAATGGTAGGTGTATTGTAACACCTAGAGACAGAGTAGCAACAACAAATTCAAAAGAAATGCATGTCTAACACATTATGACCTTGTAAAGTACTATACTCCCAATATTCCTAAAACCTCTATACTCTCTACTTGCAATTAACGCTGTTCACAGGACTACATAATATCTAAACTTTTTATGGAGAAAAGGAGAGATGGAGGTGTTCTGTAGTCCTAAAACACGTACTGTCCTAGGTTGACAACACTGCTCTTCAATAGATATAGTGAAGTGAGTGAGAGTTGTCACCCTAGGACAGGAAGGGTGTTACTGACAGGATCACCAAGTAAAGGTTCTTTCACATGGTCGTTCAGTATGTCCGTTTTGCATCTGTCCATTTAAGGATGAAAAATGGACACTTATGTATTTCTATGGACTAGCGGATGTAAATGGATGATCATCCGTTTACATCTGTTATTGTCCGCATCCGTTAACATACTTTTTTTGAACTGAAGAAAAACCCGATTTTTCTTCCATTAAAAAAAGAAAATGGAATGGATGAAAAATGGATGTAAACAAACATATGGTCCATTTTTTCATTGGTAAAGGATGTAAAAAAAAAATGGATGTAAACAGATGAAAAACAGATGTAAACAGACATACATTTTTGCATTGATAAAGAATGTTAACTGCTTCCTGAATGCTCTATAGCAGATATACTGCTAGAGGTCGACACAGGTGCACAAAATCACATATGTATATAATTTGGGATTTTTGGGTAGGGGGCGCACGCCATTTGTGGCCGCAGCTGTCAACCATCGGGTCCCAGCTGGTGACTATTCGCTGGCACCCAGTGATTGCCGAGCATCTCTGACGTGGAGGAGAGAACTGTACGTAAACAATACAGTTTTCCTCCTTGTTAGCTCATGCACACTGCTTTGCATGGTTGTACACAGCACAGCCATCCAAAGCAGTGTGATTACAGTGAAGCACAGACAGAAGTAAAACAGCACACAGTTAACCCTTTGATCGTACTTCATGTTAACCCCTTCCTTCCCATTGCCATTAGTACAGCGTCAGTGCTTTTTTTTTTTTTTTTTTTAGCACTGATCACTGTATTGGTGTCAGTGAGGATGTCAGTGACACCAAGTCAGTTCCACCCAGTGTCAGAATGGCCGCCGCAGTCCTGCTATAAGTCGCTGATCACCACCATTACTAGTAAAAAAAATTCCAGTATCTATACCGCCATTTGTAAATGCTAAAACTTTCATGCAAACCAATTAATTTACACGTATTGGGATTTTTTTTAGCAAAGACATATGGCTTATTTTTATGATGAAATTTGATTTTTAAAATTTTTTTACTGGACATGTTTAATAGCAAAAAGTAAAAAAATGCTATTTTTTTTCTCCAATTTTTTTTATAGTGCAAAAAATAAAAAACACACAGGGGATGAAATACCACCGAAAGAAAGCTCAATTCGTCGGAAAAAAAGGACGTAAATTTAATTTGGGTGCAGTATTGCACAATTGTCAGTTAAAGTAATGCAGAGCCGTAATGCAAAAAATGGCCTGGTCAGGAAGGGGGGTGAATCCTCAGGAGGGCAAGTGGTTAAAAAAAAAATGGATGTAAATGGATGAAAAACGGATGTAAACTGATACGGAACGCCTGTGTGAAAGGACCCATAGACTACTTTCACACTGAGGAGTTATGGAAGCGTTTTTACATTAAAAAAAGCACCTGAAAAGCACAAGAAAAATGCTTCCCTATGTATGTGAATGTTTATCTATGTATGTTTTCACAATGAGGCATTGCGCTTGTGGTGCGGTGTAAAAACTCCTGCTTGCAGCATCTTTGGGGAGTTAAAAAAAATCCCAAAAACCTCTTCCAATTGAAATCAATGGAAAACGCCTTAAAAACGCCTGAAAAACACCTCTGAGAAGAGTTTTTGGTGCGGTTTTTTTAAGTCACATGTAATTTAAAAATGCTCAGAAAGCACAGAAAAAGCGTGTTAAAACCGTCTAAAGGATCCGTAGCTACTGAAGCAAAAAAGCTTTGAAAAGAAAAACACATACAGCCACCACACCTATTGACTAGTGAGCAGCAATGTTACATTTTTGCTTTTTGAGTTTGGATACATTTTGACAATATAAAATGTTTCCAAGCAAAAATTAGAAATAAATGCAGCATAAGGCCTTATGCACAGTGATCATTTAGCCCATGTGCGTCCAATCCCAGTATTTTCGTGGTCTCAGGACGCACATGTGCAGCGTCCATCCCCATTGCCTGCAACCTGTCAATGTCTAGGACAAGCAGAAATACACAGCGGCTGAACACTGTGCAGAGCATTTAGTGCCTTAGGCTTTCAGAGACATGTGCCTGCAATGCAGAATACCAACTTCTGGACTTACATCCCTGTGCCTCCTGGACGGACAAAAATTCTAGAATTGGACACACACAGGCTAAACGTCCAGTGTGCAGTTCTAGCTCCTCCCATAAATGCTCTATTAATGTTCGGGGTTGTGCGGTCTTCCATCTTTAAAAATTGGTTTCATAGGTATTGGGCAGGTGACAAATGATTGGTGACAACCTGGTCACAGGTAGAAGGGTATGTTCTGCTAGGATACAATGAACACTACTCCTTCTGTCAGAATTCTCAGATCTTTTACCATGACATGTTAGATGGCAGAGAGGAATGATTACAGATCACTAAACAGCTGGTAGGAAAACCTTTTATTGGTATACAAGTGAATATTATGCATGCCATACATGGGTCAAATTCTGAACAAATTTTCATAAGAAAATTGGAAATTTTATGCATTTTGTAATCCGATGATGCCACCATTGATTTCGAAAATTTGACCAACCAAGCCTTTAACCACCTTCCGCCCCCGCCCTGTAGTACAATGACGGGCGCAAGGTGGTTCTCTCGTTCTGATAGGACTTCATATGATGTCCTACCATTCTCACTGCGCATGTGCGGCTCAGGGAGCACGCAGCGCGGCAATCATCGGACACAGCGGATCACGGAAAGAGCCGAAGATGTCGGCTCGGTCATGTGATCAGCTGTGTCAAATCACAGCTGATCACATGTAAACACGGAAATGCTGGTTATCAGCATTTCTCTCCTCTCGAGCTGTCACACTGACAGATCGAGAGGAGAGGAGAGCCGGTAATCGCTTTCCGCGGAGGGGGACATGTACACTGATCATCAGGGCACTGATGATCAGTGTGGCCCCAGAAGTGCCAGCTGTCAGTGCTCATCAGTGCCACGTGCCAGTGCCCATCAGTGCCACATATCAGTGCATACCAATGCACATCAATGCCACATATCAGTGCCCATCTGAGCTGCCTTTCCATGTCACCCGTCAGTGCCACCTATAAATGCCAACCATTGCCACCTATCAGTGCTGCCAATCAGTGCCACCTATTAGTGCCAGTTGTCGCCTATCAGTGCGCATCAGTGCCACCTATCAGTGCCAGTCAGTGCCGCCTAACAGTGCCACCTAACAGTGCCAGTCAGTGCCGCCTAACAGTGCCATGTATCAGTGTCATGTATCAGTGCTGCCTTTCAGTGCCCATCAGTGATGCCTGTCAATGCCCATCAGTGCCTCCTCATCTGTGCCCATCAGTGCCACCTATCAGTGTCCATCAGTGCAGCCTATCAGTGCCCATCACTGCAGCCTCATTAGCGCACATCAGTGAAGGAGAAAAGTCACTTATTTACAAAATTGTATAACAAAAACTAAGAAAAAACGTTTTTTTTTTTCAAAACTTTCAGTGGTTTTTGGTTTGTTTAAGAAAAAATAAAAATCCCAGAGGTGATTAAATACCACCAAAAGAAAGCTCTATCTGTCTCAAAAAAATGATAAAAAAATTCATATGGGTACAATGTTGCATGACCACGCAAATTGTCATTCATTCAAAGTGTGACAGCGCTGAAAGCTGGAAAATTGTCCTGGGCAGGAAGGGGGTATAAGTGCCCAGTAGGCTAGTGGTTAATTTCACCTCTTGTTGCTTCAGAAAAAAAATGTTGTGGCCAAGAATCTTCTTTTCTTTCCAGGTCACAGCTCATGCTCATTTCTTTTTCGATTACATTTCTCACACATGATTCTCTCATCATTGATTAGAAATTCATTACATTTTCAAAACATTTCCAACATTCCCGATCACTCAAATTTGATGGTCGCTCAAAAATCGTCTGTTGCTGTGGCCCACTAATGCTGCGAAATCCGAATGAAAATTCTTAAAAAATAATTTCGAAAGAAAATGTTTTCAGAATTCGACCCATGTATGGCCGACTTTAGTCTATGATAAATTGATTTGATTGTGAAACACTTTTTGCCTTGCAGATCAAGATTTAAAATCCTCTAGCTAACCTCTTTACATTCAGTGAAAATGGCAGAATATAGGTTGTTTATTAGGTTTTATGTGTAAATGATTCGTATGACAGAGCAGCCTTTGGACAAATTGCCTGCCATCTTTTAAGATAGAACTCGTAAATTTGAGAAGATTTGGTCTGAATAATTTCTCCCAGTGAGATCTGATAGGTCCTTGTTGCATTTATAAAATATTTAATTGATGACATTTATATCCACATGATTGATATTTGTGATAAACTTCCTTCCTGACTTCTCTTCTTTTTCATTCCTCTTTCTCTTATTTATCTCTATAGTCTAACATTTTAATGTAATCAATTTTAAATAACAGTTATTGCTAAAATGTATCATAACTACAATTCGTGATTTTTTAGAAACATACAGGTTACTTGTAGTGAAATTTGCAATGAGTATTACAGGGTACAAATTCTCTATATAGTAATTTTTTGCTACATACTATTTTTGTCACGTTATGCACTTTCTACTCTGGATGTATTAGGCTGGGTTCACATATATGCAGTGCGGTATATCGCATGTGATTCACACAGGAACTGCACTGCATTCCTGTGCAAATCACATGCGATTTGTGTGCAGTGCAACTGGAGCCATACATTTTGTATGGCTCAAATCGCACGGCATCCGCACCAAAAACATGCAAGACCCTTTTTTTGGTCCGCACTAGAATCGGAACGCATGGGTATTCACACCTATGCAATCGGATTCTGCATATTGCACCGCGTTTTGCGGACCAATTTCGGGGTGTTGTTAACTTAACATACACACCTGCAGCGGTTCGCATGAATGGGGTGTAATTCTGTTGCGGTGCGGAGTGGAATTCACACAGAAAACGCTACGAATTCCGCACCGCATCAGTGTCAACCTAGCCTCAATCTTTATTTGCTGGCATGACAGCAGTTACATGTTCTTGTATAACTGAAACTCTTTTCTCTTTCTTATATTAATATTTAATAGAAAGTATATACAAAAAGATGATGTTATTATTTAAATATGTTTATTTCAATGCTTATATATGTTATTTCAATTTACTTCCAAATGTTTCTTCCCTGAAATGTCTTGTGTATCTATAGACAGCAATAGCCATTTGTTTCAGGTTGAACTGAGTTGCAGTCAGTTGGGTGTGAAATACATCACTGTCATGGCACAGTGTGGATGTGATGGGTCTGCAGCACTTTCCTCTATGCAGATACAATTGCACTGCAATAATGTGTGTCGCAGCTTAGACAGACTATTCATTTGAAAAAACTGCCTAACACACGAGGATAGTAGCATTTTTGGCAGCACACAGCAGTGCATTGCTGTTTGTTATGCTACAACATGTCTGTTGGAAAGGTGCGGTGGGGTGCCATCCAGAACAAATAGCACCATATTGCACCAACATGTGTAACATAATTGCACTGTGTTAGTGTAAATGGGCCCCAGGACCCCATGTATACAGATGCTGAGGCCTGTAGTCCACAAATGGGCCATGTGTTAATGCTGTTGAGCTGTGAGGCATCCTATGTAAGTATACAAGGACATGTACATACACAGCCGCTCGTCCCAATTTGACAGGGAAGCAGATGAGAAGCCCCAAATACCCATTGTCCACATTCAGGGTCTGTAACCCCCATCCGCATGCCTGTCGAAATGGGTTGAGCAGCTCTGTCTGTGCAGCCGCTGTGTCCCTATACACTTACACAGGGGCGGACTGACCATTTGGAAACTCGGGCACTGCCCGAGGCCCGGGGTCAGTAGGGGGCCCCATGAGATGCCCCTGGTACCTCTTTCATAGGCTTTTTTGAGTTTGGGAAAGGACACAGGGGCCCCATGATCCCCTATTGCCCGGGGGCACCATAAGATGTCAGTCCACCCCTGCACTTACATGAATTATTGACAAATAGCGCTCATGCGCTTATGGATATGTGTCCAATATATTAATTAATATACAATATATTTGCTAGAAATCAAACAAAACTAAATTAATTTCAGCAGTCTTGAGGGTGTACAATACCACCAAAATGTGAAACACACACACACACGTTTAGACCGCGCATCTAAATTAAACATTACATATGTGCATAATCCCAACACAATATCAAAATTCACAACATGATTTGCCATTGATTGAAGTCCCAAATTGTTAAATAGAGGCCCGTGCTCATGTTCCAACTTGATTACAGTGCTTCACTTATTCTGTAGATGACCATCTATTTCTAGAGTGGTCTACAGCGCTTGTGGGGCATTTCTCAATGAAGTTGTTTAATGTCTCCAGGTCCCGCAATCTCGGAGTAGAATGTATCCTCCGGGGATCACACATTGAGCCTCCGTCCTCTGTGTACAGTGCAGGGTTTGTCCCGGTGTCAGTGTACAGTGCTGCTTCCCCTGTGCAGTGCATCATTCAGTCTCGGTGCCAGTCCCGGTGTACAGTGCAGGGTTCGGTGCCGGTCACGGCGTACACAGTGCAGGGCTCGGTCTTGGACACCGGGGACCGGCACCGAAGCCTGCACTGTACACCGGGGACCAGCACCGAGACCGAACCCTGCATTATACACTGACACTGGGACCTAAACCCTGCACTGTACACGGAGGCTCCATGTGTGATCCCCGGAGGATACATCTACTCCGAGACTGAGGGACCTGGAAACAGATGGTTGTCTACAGAGTGTGAGTTTTAGTCCATGTCTGAGCACTGATGTATGGAGCACTATGAATACGTTGAATAAGTGAAGCACTGTAATCAGGTTGGAACACAAACACGGGCATCTATTTCACAATTTGGGACTTTAAATTAATGGCAAATCATGTTTTGAATTTTGAGATTGTGTAGGGATTATGCACATATGTACAGTGGGCAAAAAAGTATTTAGTCAGCCATCAATTGTGCAAGTTCTCCCACTTAAAAAGATGAGAGAGGCCTGTAATTGGCATCATAGGTAGACCTCAACTATGAGAGACAAAATAAGAAAAAAAAAATCCAGACAATCCCATTGGCTGATTTGGAAAGAAATTATTTTGCAAATTACGGTGGAAACTAAGTATTTGGTCAATATCAAAAGTTCATCTCAATACTTTGTTATATATCCTTTGTTGGCAAATGACAGAGGTCAAACGTTTCCTGTAAGTCTTCACAAGGTTGGCACACACTGTTGCTGGTATGTTGGCCCATTCCTCCATGCAGATCTCCTCTAGAGCAGTGATGTTTTGGGGCTGTCGCTGGGCAACACAGACTTTCAACTCCCTCCAAAGGTTTTCTATGGGTTGAGATCTGGAAACTGGCTAGGCCACCCCAGGACCTTGAAATGCTTCTTACGAAGCCACTCCTTCATTGCCCGGGCGGTATGTTTGGGATCATTGTCATGTTGGAAGACCCAGCCATGTTTCATCTTCAATGCCCTTGCTGATAGAAGGAGGTTTGCACTCAAAATCTCACGATACATGGCCCCGTACATTCTGTCCTGTACATGGATCAGTCGTCCTGGTCCCTTTGTGGAGAAACAGCCCCAAAGCATGATGTTTCCACCCCCATGCTTCACAGTAGGTATGGTGTTCTTTGGATGCAACTCAGCATTCTCTCTCCTCCAAACACGACGAGTTGTGTTTCTTCTACCAAACAGTTCTATTTTGGTTTCATCTGACCATATGACATTCTCCCAAATCCTCTTCTGGATCATCCAAATGCTCTCTAGCAAATTTCAGACGGGCCCGGACATGTACTGGCTTAAGCAGGGGGGACACGTCTGGCACTGCAGGATCTGAGTCCCTGGCGGCGTAGTGTGTTACTGATGGTAGCCTTTGTTACATTGGTCCCAGCTCTCTGCAGGTCATTGACTAGGTCCCCCTGTGTGGTCCTGGAATTTTTGCTCACCGTTCTTGTGATCATTTTAACCCCACAGGGTGAGATCTTGCATGGAGCCCCAGATCGAGGAGAGATTATCAGTTGTCTTGTATGTCTTTCACTTTCTAATTATTGCTCCCACAGTTGATTTGTTCACACCAAGCTGCTTGCCTATTGCAGATTCAGTCTTCCAAGCCTGGTGCAGGTCTACAATTTTGTTTCTGGCATCCTTCGACAGCTCTTTGGTCTTCATCATAGTGGAGTTTGGAGTGTGACTGTTTGAGGTTCTGGACAAGTGTCTTTTATACTGATAACAAGTTCAAACAGGTGCCATTGATACAGGTAATGAGTGCAGCACAGAGGAGCCTCTTAAAGAAGAAGATACAGGTCTGTGAGAGCCAGAATCTTGCTTGTTTGTAGGTGACCAAATACTTATTTTCCACCATAATTTGCAAATAAATTCTTTCCAAATCAGCCAATGTGATTGTCTGGATTTTTTTTCTCATTTTGTCTCTCATAGTTGAG